GCAACACAATCTGTTTTGTAGGCTTGACTTTGCCGCAAGTAACAGCATAAACTAGGTCTTGGCTGAATGAAGCTGTGAGCCTTTGGACCCTCTGGGATGGGTTATCACCTACTTTCGATGAACCTGTTAGGAGTGTCTGAAGAAACCCCACTAGAGATGTAGGAGTGCTGTTCATCATCTCAAGATCTGACGCATGTGGTGGCCATGCTTGAGTAATATCTTGGTTCCAAATATCATCTCTGATCTTCAGTGCCGCTTGCGATATGATGTCTTCGCTAATGCTTGATTTGTGCTCCTTCATCTTTTAGTTTCTGGCAAACTGTTACAAGTTCATCCATTATCAAATTGTCAGGGTATACCAACAGCTTTCCTTTGTCATTTTGTATGATGTGTAAAGATTCACCAAATTCAGCTTCAACCTTGCGACGTAGGTGTTTCTTTGTAGAAGGTGTCACTTGTGTTACACCTCATTCAGCCATTTCTGTCACCAGTTTAGAGGCCAGGTCTGTGAATGATACCACTGTAGGATGTTCAATCAGTCCTTCCCTAATGTATGCAAAAACTTTGGAGAGTGCCATTCCTTCTGCTGCTTCATAATGACATTCTGCTTGGTCCAAATTAAGTTCAACTCTCTGCATTTTGTCAGGCTCTCTTTTGTCCTTTGACCTTTCAAATACTTGCTACATTTGTCACAAAATATACATTTGGACTCATATACCCTTGATGCCGATGGACCTTGTCTAGTGGATTTTCTTAAGTCTTCTGTGAGAGATCTTTCTGCAGAACTTTCTTTTGCAAGGATGCTGTCAAGCAGTTTCTTCATAGTGAAGATGCTATGACATTTCCTGTGATACAATACTGATGGTATGCTACCTTCAGGTAGGTCTTTAGCAAGATCAAGGATGGGGCTGTAGCCTCTTATTTTAGCTGCTCTGAGTAATGTGTTCCATGAATCTATATTCGTAGGTGTCACAAGGTTAGAGTCATCATCCGAACAGTGTATTAAACAATCTGGCTTCTGTTCTGCCATAATTCTCTATTCTCTGATGTACATTGCGCTGAAAATAACAGAAATACAGGAATATCAAGAACATAGAACATTTAAATATGTGTTACTAAAAATAACACCAGGACTGGCTGTTTTCAATTTATATAAATGCTAGTTTGTGCAACAAAGTAGAGAAGTAATGTGGTTTTGAAATCCCATGAAATTTCAGCCTTCCTGCACTCTCTGTATCTTCACACACTCATCAGTCTTTTTTAATTACTCACGAAGTTGTTGTTGTAGAAAATGGGTATCAAATGAAAGAGTGGACTTTCTGCTTCACAGTGACGCTAGTACCTTGATTGTAGAACAAAGATGGTTGGAGTAATCTTCATTTGAAAATGCATACAATTAAACAATGTTGCAATCATCAGTCATTTCTTCACTCATTTTTACACTGAATATGGTGCAAAGTGCTTGTAGCCTCCAAGGGTAAATAACACATATCAAAATAAACAGCAAGACTCAACCTTTTTCGATGATGCTATTGGCTTATCTGTACAACGAAGTATGGTGGATTAATCTGGTTTTGAAACTAGTTCCAGTTGTTGCATATTTCATATACTGTTCATACATTTTGTCAATTTGCTAGGTCATGGATTGTCCCACCACCATGGTTCTGATATCATCTGATTATAGAGAGTCTTGGCTATCCATATCTGAAAAGGTATCCCCACTAATATCAATGTTTTGAGATAGATATACAAATATAACAATTTAATAGATGCAAACAATGTTTTTTTTAATATGAAGGCTAATATAAAATGTATACAACAAATATGTCAAATTGTGGCAGATATGGATAGCCCTGACTGTCCTTAAAAAATCAACATATAGCATGTATGGCTACCTCTTACAATAGACTTCATAGAAACCTGCTGTGCAGATACTGTAGGATGATAATGACAAAAATAATGATTATCCAAAAAGATTAATAAAGCTACTCATTTCAAATGGTTATCATGTTTCAAGGTACTTATATGGACTCTACAAACAAACTGGTACCAAAGGGATTTTGCCACTTTAGGTGGTACCAAATTCTGGCTTGGCCCATGGACTAAAAGGAAAAATAACATCCTGTAAAAAGGACACTTAGGAAGTCAGAGGGGGAAAGGGCAGGTGTTTAAGCACCACCTGGGTTCTGTCTGTGTGTGTGTGTGTGCCTGATCAGTATTAGCACTTTGGCTAGTTGGTCAGCACTGTTCACCAACTAGTCTTGTAAATAGTCACTATGTCACCATGCTTCTAACACCACCTGTTTTGCTGTGTGACTTTCTAGTGTGACCATGTAGTTGACATGCCAATAATTTAACCATTTTAACTATTCATGTCATACATACACCACAAGACTAGTAACAGTATTCCATATATTCTTTGCTAATGTATGTGTTATGTGTGAGTGTGGTGTGGACCCCAGTTGCAGACACAGACCAGGAGGAGTAGGAGCTAAAGAAAGTGATTTAATGAACAGGAGAACAGAGAGGTCCCAAGGGGGGGGGGAGATGAGCAGGAGACCAGAGAGGAACCAAGGGGGGACGAAGAACCAGGAGGACCGGCAGCAGGAGAGACACAGGAACCAGAGGACGAGCAGGAGAGCAGGGGAGACACAGGAACCAGAGGACGAGCAGGAGAGCCGGCAGCAGGGTAGCGTAAACGTAAGGTAAACGCAAGGTAAGCGTAGCGTTAATGTAACGTAAGGTAAGCATAGCACAACACAACACAACACAACACAACACAACACAACACAACATAACATAACATAACATAACATAACATAACATAACATAACATAACATAACATAACATAACATAACATAAAGGTAAGGTAACGGTATGGTATGAACCAGCAAAGACGTGAGGGAAGACAGGGTGTACATATACCTGACGGGACCGGGAGACAACGAGCAGCAGGTGGGAGGAATGATGGCTGATTGCAGAGAGAAACCACAAGGGACAGGACCAGGAGATAACAGGCAACAGGTGACTGACATGGCAATCAATTGCGGTGACAGTGTAGCGGGGAGAGAACAGGTAAGCAAACAGAAATCCAGGAAGCCGATTGACACGAAACCGTAACAGTATGGCTGGATTAAGCTACATATACAGTATAGGTTACAGACGCTGCTGTGCTATAATAAAGGCAGGTATGTTTTCCTCTCTGATGTCTTTACAACAGTTTAACCTGGAGCTACTGTAAATCCTCCCTCTACAACAAATATTTGTCAA